ATTTAAATATAACTGCAATAGGTTCATCCCAGTCTGGAGTCATTCTCCTCTCTCTCTTGTGCAGGGCTGACTTCCTGGTAAGCAGCTAAGTAATCATATCCCCCATTCCCCTCCCAATTGCTTTTAGGTTATTAAGCAAAAATGTCTCACTACAGGTTTCTGTGACAGTAGAGGTAGAAGGATATAGGGAGGAGACACAGCAAGCACTTGTAAGGGAGCTGTAGCAGCCCAGTGCTCTGTGCCTTTGGCCACTGTAGAAATGATTGAGAGTTAAACCTTATCATGCTCACTTTTCATGGGACTTTCCACTTAGCTTCTGTATTTTTGCTTTCATTAGATCCTTACATCCTTCGTATGTGTTCTCTCATCTTCAATACCGCCTGTTCTGCTTAGAGATGATGTTTCTTTCATCCCATCAGTTTGGGAGAAGCAATATTTCTAATCAGGCCTTTCTTCCTGTAAACTATTTTTGATAATGTGAAACGAATCATCTGCTTGTGTGATGGCTTGTTGGGAACTGCCATGGGAATTATTTTCATTGGTAGGATTAATGCATTCATAGGAGTGTGACCTGAAAAGAGTTAATTTTTCTTCTCTCTGATACTTTTTGCAGTCTGATTTTAACTAAATAAAACTTCTTTAGCACTTGCATATTCATGTTGCATTTGGCACCACCCTACACAGTCTGTCTGTAAAACCTCAGTGCCCCAGATTTAGCCAAGTTATTATTATTCAGGTATTTATTATTGCTATTAATATTGTCAAGTGTAAGTTAGCCAAGTGCATGCTTCACAGCCTTCCTAATATTGTAAGTGGATTTGGTTGTATTTTGTGTCTACACAAATGTATCTGAATTTGCTGGTATGTTGTGCTGGCTGAATTAGAGGTGTTGGACTTTGTCAGACTCCTGTTGTGTCCCTCTCCCAGCAATTTTCCCAGAGCCTGAGAAACCACTTCTTCTAAAGAAGAATGTTTACACAACTTTGCCTTGGTCACTGAGTACGTGAAGTTTATATTTTGAATGACCAGAGAACAGACAGCAGCAGTGCTTCTTGCACTCTTGGAAGTGTTAACTCTTCGGTTTGTTTATGGCAGTAGTAAGCATGAGAAGAGCACATAGAATATTTTTCATATTTGCAGGGAATAGTTCAAAGCTTAAGCACTCCCTGCCTATCATTTGCAATTGGTAGCAGACAGTGCTTGCCAGTGGAAGGAGTAGCAGACAGATTCCTTGCCAGTGGAAGGAGTCCTTGTAGGAGGTGACATGGTTGTTGTCCTTGACAGAGGACTCTGTTCCAGGAGCTCTCCTGTTTTCATTAATTCATTAATTCCCTACTCTTTGCCAGCTCTTGTCTGTAGGTCTTTTTCTCTGCTGTGTTTTCAAGAAGGCTGCAAAGAAGTCCATGGCTTAGAGAAACTCAGTGTTGCAGTTCACATACTATGTGCCTGAAATATTCTTTTCATTCCTACCTGCTATTCCAAGATTCCCTGGTTGGCAGGCTGAACTTTCAGTGTTAGTTTTAGCACTTAGAGGAAGTAGTTGTTCAAAATGTAAACTCTTAAATACAGTAGTTGGTGTGGCTCCATGATTTGTGATGTTCCCTTTAGATTCCAGGGGAATGATGTTAAAAATGTAATGACTCCCTTAAAAGAGATTAGAAACCATCCCAGAAATACTGGCTCTTTCAGTTTGAGGTGTGTTGATGAAGGTCCTGACTTTTTTGCACACAGTGTAGTAGCAATTGGAAGTGTTGTGTCTTGAGTTTGTTTTTACGTTACTGCCACTGAAAAACTGTGTATATCAGGCTGATACTGGTAGGACCCAGGTGGTAGCAGTGTGTCTGCTGGTGCTGTGCCCATATCTCCTGACTTGACAATATCGGCATGCTTGGCCTCAGGAGGATATAAACAACTCTGTTTTCAGACGCTTGTCCTTCATTTTTGCAAAAATGAAGTCAGCAGCATCTCTGTAGGGCTGCTTCTGTGAATCTTAAGGTGCCCAACATGAGGATGTGAAATATGAACCTTCAGCTGACAAAGGGCTTGAATTCAGTAAAATTTCTTTGATTTGTTTTGTAATTATGTCTTGGGTAATTGGTGCTGTAGAGTGTATCTTGCCACAGTGTGGTTGGTAACCTCTGCAATTTCCCGCTGTTTAAATAAGCAGGTGCGTGAGGTGAACAGCAAAACCAAAAGTGGAAAAACAGATTTCTGGCATAGTCTTACAAATAAGCAGCAGCTTTGATTTCTCCTGGTGATACAGTGAGGTATTTCCCCCCTGCCTTGTACACAAAGGGAAGATGAGCTCTATAAAGGGCAGTGCAAAAGCACAACTTGATTTACTTTAATTAAGGAATTGTAGAGCCAACTTTAGGAGAAACTAAATTTTGTTCACTGAAAGGGGAAAATCAGGATGGACTAAAATGACTAGAGTGAAGCCAGATATTTTAAATGTTTTCTTTATTAATTCCCCAAGCCCAGGCATTCTTTGGGGATATATCACATCACTAGGGATGTTAGTTTACAAACTGCAGGGGACTAGATGCACCTAAGGTATATGGTCTAGGTTAATGAGACAGCAGCCTGAGTAAAATCACAGAATCATTGAGATGTTCAGGTTAGAAAAGACCTCTAAGGTCACTATGTCCAGCCATTACCCAGCAACAGAAATCCACCACTAAACCATGTCCCCTCCCAAGTGTCACATCTGATCATCTCCTAAATACATCCAGAGCTTTCCATAGATGGTGACACCACCGTTTCCATGGGCAGCCTCTACCAGTGCTTGACAATCCTTTTGGTCAAGAAATTTTTCCTGATGTCCAATCTAAACCTGCCCTGGCACAGCTTGAGGCCATTTCCCCTTGTCCTGTCACCAGTTGCCTGGGAGAAGAGACCGACCTCCACCTCCTTTCAGGGAGTTGTAGAGAGCAATAAGGTCTCCCCTGAGCCTCCCTTTCTCCAGACTAAACATCCACAGCTCCCTCAGCCGCTCCTCATAGGACTTGTTCTTTAAATCCTTTATCCAGCTTCATTGCCCTTCTCTCGACATGCTCCAGCAGGTCAACATCTTTCTAGTAGTGAGGGTCCCCAGTGGAACACATTGTTTGAGGTGTGGTATGAAAGTATGACTACAAAATCCTTTTGTTGCACCATCTCACTTTCAGAACTGTCATCTTCTTGTGAGGCAGTGGAGGGATGCCAAAAGATGTAAGGACAGGGAGGGAAGAACTTGCCAGTATATGGTTTGTGAATGAAGGATAAAGAACATCTTAATAAAGTAAAAGTGGCATTTAAATGTTCTCTTGCAGTTTTCACCTGGCAGCCACAAAAGGACATGCAGAGTGCCTCAGGATCATGGTGACACATGGTGCAGATGTGACAGCCCAGGATGGTGCAGGTATGCCTCTCTGAACCTATACAAGTAGCATAATACACTTAAGTTACCTGTGTAGTTCTGCATGTGCAGAGTGAAACTACAGATTTGACAACATTGCTTTTCCCCACACCCTCTCCAGGAAAAGCAGTTGTAACACTTGCAGGTTTAGGCACACTTGCTTTTCTGCACAGAGAATTCAGACTCTGAAGTCCTAAAAAGTATAAAGTCCTTAAAAACTTTTGACCTAATGCTATATATTTCAGCATTTGTAGTGGACTCCAGGTGTAAAATAGTTGCTCAGTTTTTAAAAAAAATTATTATTTAAAAAAAATTATCCTCCCCAACTCTTTTTATTATTCTAGGTTACATGAAGACCTTCAGTGTTGATTTTATGTTTATCCAAGCTATTAACCCCATTAACTTTACAGGAATTACAGTAAGACATTTCCTCAGCATTATGACATGGTGAAAACAGCTGATACAGGCCAAACCAGAGCTACTAAGTATGCTGTTTCAGTGCTCAAAAGTCCTATGCCTTAATTACTACCCCACTAGGAGGATGATGGGGGCTGAATTTGAAACTGGCAAACTCTTCCTAATAGATTCCAGTTGACACATCTGTGGAATCTGTGCCCAGCATTTTCTCTGGCTAGCTGAGCACCTGGATGAGCTGTCAGCTTTCTGTCTCTCCAGTAATGATCTATAAATGTTGGGCTCATGGGTTCTGTTTTGGCCTCTGATTGCAGCCTGAGGGAATTTCTGTCATACATGTGAATGTCACTTCTATAAGGAAGTGTCTGTGATATTGGAAGAAGCATTCATATTTTAAGCAATGATAAAAGAACATACATACCTGATCCAGATTATTTTTCAGAATTCATACTTCATCTTGCCTCAGGATTTATTTGTTGTTTGGATAGTAAGAGGTTGCCTGCCTACTTTCACCTGAGAGTATCAACCCACTGTTCATTAGGGAAATCCTTTTCTGTAAAAGTCACTTTATTTGCAATGAGAGTTTACTGTCACAAGTGGCTTTGTCTGTATAGAGTAGTAAATCTTGCCTCCTTCTTTTCTTAGTTACATGGATAATTTGTTCTTTTGATGTCTTGGCCTGTTGAATTTTTCAGATGGTCTGTAAGATGAAGCTGAAGGAGAGACTGCAGTCTTTCATCACAAATCCCTAGTCAGTAAATCACTGTGTTGAATAGCTAAATATGAGCTCATGGGTGCTCAAAAAGTTAACTGCAATGCAAACTGATGTAGATCTGTGTTTGATATGTGATCACAGCTGCTGTATAAAATGACTGAATAGGGAATCTATGAGACACAAACCAAAGCAGGCCTGTGTTTGAGTCGTCTTCTACATGCTTCATGGATTATACAAATTTACTGTAGTGGTAGCTGGTGAATTTGGCTTGTTTTACTCTTGGTGCCAGGTTATTTTTCACTGCCACATGGCAGAAATCATGAGGACACTGACAGACATCTTTGTGCAGTGAGGCTGAGTAATACAGGAAAATTGTTTTCTAAGAAACGAGACATAACAATCTTAGACTTACTTCTGCCAAGATGTAGTCTGACACAGTGTTTGTGTTACTCCTTTATATGAAGCAAAACATTAGGATTATTCTGTTACCTGCCTGAACAACAGTCTATTGGAAAGACATTCTTCTTGATGTAGGTTTTTATTTTATTTTCTCTACCCTTACTTTTACTTGTCATGATGATAGGAACAAGATGGATAATTTGGGATCTTGCCTTTGTCATGAAAGAGTTTATTTCTCTGCTTTGGTGTGATTGAATAATTAATTTGCTTTCCTTTCATTCTTTTAGGACACAGTGCTTTACATCTTGCAGCAAAGAACAGCCACCCTGATTGCATTAAGAGATTACTTCAGGTAAAGTAAAAATTAAATTAATTTTGATTTTTGAAATTTTCATTTGGGTCCATTAGACATTGACCCATTTCCTGCTAATAATCTGCACCACACTGCTATACTTTTGTCCTTTCTCCTTGACATCAAGAGAGACACATCAAGAGTTTAAACATAAAGAGTTTAAAGACCCTTCAGGCGCTGTGAAGGGATGATAGAAAATAGTGTGGTCACAGTATTCCACGTGCAGCAGATCTGACATAGCTGGGTTGGTTTTCAAGCAGGTTGCAGCTTCAGTCCAGTTCCTGTGTTTTGTCTTTGTGGTTGGATGACTTGGAATTAGGTAGATTTGAGAGTTACAGGGGAAAAGGATTTTTTGCTTCTGGGGGCAGTTCTGATACTGTTCCACTGGAATGCTTTCTGTCTGTTCACCATTGAAACACTTCTCAAGTTTAAAGTCAAAGAGGAAAGGAACCAAAGTAGTTTAGATCCCAAAATATGTAAATAATCAAATCCTCCATGAAATGAAGTAAAGGACAGTAAGGGATTAGAAAGGGAGTTGAGAGAATGGGGAAAGTAAATAAGAAAAAGAAAATTGAAGATGAATAGAAGATTCTCATGGTGTTAAAGCTGAAGATGTGCATTAGCAAGCAAAGACATTGTCCATTTCAGCTCTCATGTCAGAAATACTGGTAAGTTTTCATGGCGGTGATCAGAGGAATGGAACAGATTTTTTTCTAAGTTTGGAGTTATCTGTAAGTCTCAGATGAAACAGTGAATACAGATGGAGACTGCAGATGAAATAATTCATAACAACCCCACTCGAACCCAATGGTGCAGAAAGAGAACGGATCCCATATCCCAGCCTCTGAATTGTTCTTGCCTGGTTACCTCAGGGCTCTCCAATTGTCCTGCAGCTGGCCCCTGTCAGTGTCTCTGACAACACTGGATCCCATTTCACTGATTCCCACCTCAGTATGTTGCAGGCTGATTTCCCTTACTGGCCCACACCTGGGAAGGGTTGTCGTTTGCCACCGAGGCTCATTTCATTGCCGGTTCCTCCTGCTGCAAACGCCGACCCATTTGCAGCACAAACAGCACCATCAGGCCGTCACTGGTGGCATCGCAGGCAGCAACTAATGTGTGTTTAATACTAAGTATCTGCTGTCCTTGCGCGTGTCAGGGGCAACCACAGAGTGCTTTGGTTGATGTTTTCCTGGTTTTGTTACAATATGCAGATTTCCAAACACATTCACAAGTGCAGGCCCATTGGTAATATTCTCCAACAATTCATGCTCTTAGGATTGCCTTCTTACTTCTGGGGACCAAAGTGTGACTGTGAGGAGTGTCTAACTGGTGTTGAACTAAAACAGGCTGAATAATTATTTTACACAGGCAGAATGTCGACATTTTTGTTACAGAATGCGGTAATCTGTATGATCCTGTTTTCTTAGAAAATCATAGATGTGTTGGAGGCAGTGCTACATTTAAAAGACAAAAGTTATAATGTTTGATTTTTAGAAACACAGTGTTGTTCAGCACTCTGTTAGCATCAAAGATATGTTTTGTCTTCTTTGTCTTTCTCTAATTGCTTTTTCCCCCCCTTCTCCCTATTGAACTGTGCAGAGTAAATGTCCAGCAGACAGCACTGACAATTCTGGGAAAACAGCATTGCATTATGCAGGTAACTTCTCAGGCCAAAGCTTGCACTATCTATTTTGTTGTGCTTGATATTCCTAGCTCTACAATTTTTCTGTACCCTGCTCTTATGCTGCAATGTTGCAAGCGGAAGCACAGAGCACAATTTTTGAAAATGGGGTGGGTTTGGTGGACTTTTATGCTTGTATTTTTTTTAATTTTATTTTATTTGGGTCTTTTAGCTGCAATTGGATGTCTTCAGGCAGTTCAACTCCTGTGTGAACACAAATGTCCCATTAATGTCAAAGATTTGGTAGGTACCTCTTCTGTTGTGTACTTCAGATACCTCAGAGCTTTTGTCATCCTCCACCCCATGCACTTACCAACCTCCATCTCAGTGCAGCAGTTCAAAGCAATATTGTGCTTGTATTTCTTTCTGGACTTCTTTGCCAGAGGAAGTTCCCTCTGCAGCTTGCCATAGCAGAGATGTGAAAGCACTTCACAATCTGATACCATAGCAGCAGGATTTGCTGATCATTAAATTGAGACATTGGCAGAAGTAGCTAGAAACAATTCTTATATGTTCAAAACATAATTAAAAGCATTCCCTTGACTCCAGTAGGCTTGGGAAAAGGTCCAATACATGGCAAGTGCTGCAAAATTCCCACAAAGCCCAAGCAGAGTATGATAAGCCTGAGGGAGAAAAATATATTTGATGTAGTCTAAAGGCTCAGGGATACTACATTCATTACTATGAAGTGTCTACAACCAAGCAGGTCTGGTTTTGGGCATGATGCAGCTGCCTTACAGAAAATCCTTAAATGACAGAAGGAGGTGACCTAACGTAAATAAAGCACAGGCCAGGTGGGAAAGCATAAAAACACTTACTTGTTTATTTTTGACTTTGATCCATCCCCTTCTTACCTGATCTAATGAAAACAAATATGTCACAGATGTCAGACCACAAATTTCAGCAAAGGCATTTTAAGGGTAGAGAAGGTTTATTCTGTCTTAAGAAGGGAAGGCTGTTGGAATATCTTTAAAATGTCTTAGGCTACATCACAGAATCATAGAATTAACTGGGTTGGAAGAGACCTCTGAGATCATCAAGTCCAACCCTTGACCCAACCCCACTGTGATCACTAGATCATGGCACTCAGTGCCACATCCAGCCTCATCTTAAAAACTTCCAGGGACGTTGAATCCACCACCTCTCTGGGCAGGCCATTCCAATACCTGATCACTCTTTCTTCTGTAAAGAACTTCTTTCTAATATCCAACCTAAATCTCCCCTGGCAGAGCTTAAGCCCGTACCTTCTTGTCCTACTGCTGATTGCCTGGGAAAAGAGACCAACTCCCACCTGGCTACAAACTCCTATCACATAGTCGTAGAGAGTGATAAGGTCACTCCTGAGCTTCCTCTTCTCCAGACTAAACAACACTAGCTCGCTTAGCCTCTCCTCATAGGATGTGTGCTCAAGTCCTTTCACCAGCCTGGTTGCTCTTCTCCGGACCTACTCCAGCACCTCAATATCCTTCCTGAACTGAGGGGCCCAGAGCTGAACACAGCACTCCAGGTGTGGCCTCACCAGCGCTGAGTACAGGGGAAAGATCACTTCCCTGCTCCTGCTGGCCACACTGTTCTTGATGCAGGCCAGGATGCCATTGGCCTTCTTGGCCACCTGGGCTCTCTGCTGGCTCATGTTCAGCTTCCTGTCTATCAGCATCCCCAGGTCCCTTTCTGCCTGGCTGCTCTCCAGCCACTCTGTCCCAGCCTGTAGTGCTGCAGGGGGTTGGTGTGGCCCAAGAGCAGGACCTGACACTTGGCCTTGTTGAACCTCATCCCACTGGAATCAGCCCAACTCTCCAGTCTGTCCAGGCCCCTCTGCAGAGCCCTCCTGCCTTCCAGCAGATCGACACTCCCTCCCAACTTGGTGTCATCTGCAAATTTGCTGATGATGGACTCAATCCCCTCATTTAAATCATCAATAAAGATGTTAAACAGGACTGGGCCCAGCACTGACCCCTGGGGGACACCACTGGTGACCGGCTGCCAACTGGATGCAGCTCCGTTCACCAGCACTCTCTGGGCTCCCGCCATCCATCCAGTTCCTGATCCAGCACAGAGTGCCCTGTCCAAGCCATGGGCTGCAGCTTTTCCAGGAAAATGCTGTGGGAGACAGTGTCAAGGCTTTGCTGAAGTCCAGATAGACACATCCACAGCCTTCCCCTCATCCACCAGGTGGATCACCTGATCATAAAAGGAGATCAGGTTGGTTAGACAGGACCTGCCCTTCCTAAACCCGTGCTGGCTGGCTCTGATCCCTTGTCCATCCTGTAGGTGCTGTGTGATTGCACTTAGGATGATCTGCTCCATGACCTTGCCAGGCACTAAGGTCAGGTTGACAGGCCTGTAGAGTCCCGGGTCCTCCTTGCAGCCCTTTCTGTAGATCTGCGGGACATTTGCCAACTTCCAATCATTTGGGACCTCCACAGAGAGCCAGGACTGTTGGTAAATGATGGAGAGTGGCTTGGCAAGCTCTTCTGCCAGCTCCCTCATCACCCTTGGGCAGATCCCATCTGGTCCCATGGACTTGTGTGGATCCAGGTGGCTCAGTAAGTCACTGACTATTTCCTCCTGGAACACAGGTGGGCTATTCGGCTTCCTGTCCCTATTTACCAGCTCCAGAGGACAGCTGTCCCAAGGGCCATCTGTCCTACTGGTGAAAACTGAGGCAAAGTAGGTGTTAAGTACCTCAGCCTTCTCCTCATCCCTGTTAACTATATTCCCCCCCAAGTCCAACAAGGAATGGAGGTTTTCCTTGCCCCTTCTTTTGTTATTAATGTATTTATAGAAGTGCTTTTTGTTATCCCTAACAGAAGTAGCCAAATTGACTTCAAATTGCACTTTTGTCTCTAAAATTGTCTCTCTGCATGACCAAGTTATATTCCTAAACTATCATGGTTGGTCATAAGAAAGAGGGAGTCAGACCAACCTCAGAGATGCATGACAAAATGGTGATAAGAAATGGTCAGAGTTTGGGTAGTGAACGTAACTGGGAAATCCCAGTTAGGCACTAAGGAAAAAATAATCTCACCTCAAAGGTGGTCAGACACTGGAACTGGTACCTGGAGATGATGTCACGTTGTCTCTAACTTTGGAGATGCTTAAAATTTGACTGGACAAGTCTCTGAGCAAGGTACTGTAGCCTGAAGTTTGCCTAGCTCTGTGTTGAGGAAAAAAAGTGGGAGAAATCCCAGATGACATCTAAGGGTGTCTTCCGAATATATTATTCTATGATTTTATGAAACGTTGAATTTTTGCCTTGTACTTAGTTAAAATTATAATTTTTGTTGTGAAGCTACTGAAAGATACTGGGTAGTTTCAAAATCACTGTGTTTTAGCATTGAGCAAACAGTAAAGGGAGTACAAAAGCAAAAAGCATCCCTACTCTTCATGTTTTGCATCATTTCTAGCAGTCAAGAAGCAATTAAAGTGAACTCAGCTACAATTATGCTATATAAGAAAAATGTAGTGATAGCACCTCATTTTTGCTATGTAGAGATAAAATTCATAGCTGTGTTCAAATCTCACTGTCTTATTGGTAAGTGGGTAGAATATTGTTCATAGTTTCTTTAAATGCATTTCTAGGATGGGAACATACCTCTGCTGCTTGCAGTGCAAAGTGGACATACAGAAGTCTGCAAATACCTTCTGGATCGTGGAGCAGACATCAACACCAGGGATAAAAATGGAAGGTACAGCAGGTTAACATGTTAATTCTTCCTCAAGGCTGACTGTCAAATGAAGCTTTTCTCCTCAAATTCTTCTCAAAATAGTTGATGTTAGGTGAAATAATGCTTTCTGTACTAGACATCCTGATTGTTGAGAAGGATTGCAAAATTCTGCCTAAAGGGAAAGAAGAAACAGAAACTATGCAACTGTGAGCTAATGTGCCTGTAAGATTTCCCTTGGGCTACCAGAGCAGTATATCCCATTTTTAAGTGATTCCTACACAAAAATGATTGATAGCACTTACCCACACATCACTGTCTAAGTGTCCCAATTTGAAGTGCTGCTTTCTTCTTGAGATGAGTTAGTAACTGTTTCTTGGGAGCAAAATCTTTGGAGGGCTCTTTCTTCCACCATAATGCAGCCACAACAACCAGAGAAAAGTACAGTAAAGCTTTATAGTGGAGATGCTGTTTTAGGAAGTGCCAATTAGAGATTTTTTGCATTAATAGGTAGTGCATGTATCAGAAAACTGTTCTTAAAAAGCAACATCCTTGTAGTGAAAAATGCACTTGTTTTAATGATAGTGACAAAGATCAAGAGTCTGTGAAAATTATGGACTGTTACATAAAGAGTTCCTTAAACTGTGAAGGTAAGGAAGGATACTGAGAAGACTTGGCACCTACACTTCATAGCAATGTTGATATTACAGATGATACAATGCTGATATTGTTCTCTGGTAGCACCTGCGAGGATAAGACTGGGCCCTAACTTGTTTTTTATCAGTCCAAAGTTCATTAGTGCACTCTTTTTTTTCAGCTGTCTAAAGAAAACTGCCTTCTTTGTTTGTTTGTGTGACTTCCTCAGTGCTTTGAACCTGAGGTGCTGCACACTCTGGGACCTCCTCCTTCTCCTCACTTTCTTACTATTTAATCAGCAGACAGTGTTAAGACTTCCTTCTTGAATTGGATGAGTTTCTGTCATAGATAGGACTCACATTATTGTATTTTCTTTTTTAAGAAAGTATTGTGTGTAGAAGTAAGAAAATTGTATAATGTGGAATATGCTGGTTTACTTCTTGCTTTCATCGTGGTAAGGGGAGTGGGTACTCCTGCATCTCACAGTCACAAAGGGGGTTAAGATTTTACTGAAACAGGAGAAGCCTTATTGGGAGAAGAAGGGGATAGCCTTTGAAAACAGCATCTCCAGATTTCCATCTTGTCCAGGCTAAGTGAATCATTTTTGTAACCTAAAACCTTCCCTGTGACTCTGGAGGTGTTATCCAAATTGCTACTCAGCACTACCTTTTAACACAGCACTGCAGCAGCCATCACCTCTCCAGGGCTCTCCCATTGCAGGGAGTATGTTTAACTCATCAGTGAAACATTTGTCTTAATGTTTAGCAAATATTATCACTGTAGTAACTTTTCAACTTCAAATCTGCACTGAGGAATATGTTTGGCAGTAAACTTGGCCAACCTATTAGGCATGTTTTCATGTTGAGAAAGGAGAATTATGCCCAAGCAGGAAGGCACTATTAGAGCACACTTGAAAAGTGAGGGAGTTTGTGTGGTTTTAATTACTCTGTACATTTCTTATGACCTCTTCAAGTAATTGAGAAAAGCAGATACAACATGTTAGGAAAAGACTCCTTCTGCATGCTACCCTTACTCTAGAGTCTGGCATTGTGCAGCTACCCTGTGTTGGAAAGGGAATGGTTTGTGCTCTAATGGACTTCTTGTGGGTTTTTTTTCTTTTTTTCTGTTTTCCTTTTTTTTTAAGCTGACTGTAGTACAGGGTTTCAGGTCAAACCCATCTCTTGGACTCACTT